CTATGTATCCTTATAGATAATGGGGTGGACGAAATTTAGGGTTAAGGAAACTTAAATTCGTCCAAGCCTAATATCTAGGAGGATCTTGGATTGCTTAGGGCCTAAGTTATTCAATTAGGGTTAAAGGTGAAACCCTAGTATCCCATAGTATAAATAGACTCCTAAGGTGAGGGAAATCGGCACTCATGCAAGGCAAGAAACCCTAGGGCCGATTTCTCACCCTCCTTCCTCTCTCTCAAATCATCTTCTTGCTAGTTGGTGTTTGTAAGCCATTAGAGGAGTGACAATTGTGACTCTAAGCTCCAAGAAAAAGAAGTATCAAACAAGCAATTCAAGGTATTCTTCTAGATCTGTTTTTCATATGCTATGAATTGTTTGTTTACACTATATCTATGAATGAAAGTCATGGATACATGCATGTTCAATTAGAGAAACCTAGATCCAAGCAATTAGGGTTTGCATGTGCACATAGGAAAGTTCTTATGGCTCAAACCCATCAGTTATATATATATATATATATATATATATATATATATATATATACATATATATATTCTTTTATCACACTATAAATACAGCAACATCCAACCATTTTTTTAAACTAATACCTTCTTATTCTCTCCAAAAAATATTAATCAAAATGTCATCATCTTCATCATCCGATTCGACGGCTCTATAGGAGGCTAAGTTTATCTGTTCTGTCATGGAAAAAGCGATTGCATACTTTCAAAACCGACTAGGCGAAACATCACATGCACGATCCAAACCAAGAAAGTCACGGTTATGTAGAAATCGTGAAGCCGGATGCGATCGTCTTATAGAAGATTACTTTGCAAATGATGTCATCTACATTGTAAAGTTTCGACGTCGGTTCCGGATGAGGAATGAACTATTCTTACGTATTGTTGGCGATTTAGAATGCCGCTTTCCATATTTCCAATGGAAAATGGAGGTGAGACGAATAAAATGTTTCTCTCCAATTCAAAAATGCACGGTTGCAATTCGTCAGTTAGCATACGGCATGAGCGCAAACAAATGGGACGAGTATTTTAGGATGTCAGACCGTTCCATGAAAGAGTGTGTGTACAAGTTTTGCAAAGCGATCTGTTTGGTTTATGGGTAACGATATTTGCGCAAATGAACTATGAACGATATCCACCAATTGTACACGGTGCATGAAGGCAAGCGTGGATTCCCTGGAATGCTTGGTAGTATCGATTGCATGCATTGGGGTTGATCATTATTCCCCAACGAATGGCGTGGTCGGTACATGATAGGCGACCACAAAGAGCCGACAATTGTTCTAGAGGCTATCGCATCACATGATCTTTGGATATGGCATGCATTCTTTGGTCCAAATGGTGTAAATAATGACATCAATGTGCTAGACCAGTCGTCGGTATTCAACGATATCTACCTTGGAAAGTTGCACGATGTACCTTTTCAAGCAAATGAGGTATCATATAAGCGTGGATACTATCTTACTGACAGTATATATCCTCCCTTGTCTGTTTTTGTGAAATTGTTTACATGTCCTAACGAACTGAAAATGAAAAAGTTTAAAGAGGCGCAAGAGTCAGCTGGGAAGGATGTTGAGCGAACATTTGGTGTACTTAAGAGACGTTGGCAAGTACTAGCAGTCGGGACAAGGTCATATGAAGTGAAAAAGTTACATCACGTAATGTATGCATGTATCATATTGCATAATATGATTCTTGAAGACGAAGGAAGAGTGATATTTCGATACAACGAAAATGAAGTTTTGCCAAATGTTGAAGGAGTAGTCGTTGGTACACAAGAGTATAGGGCAAATAGAAGAGAAGTACACAATCTTGACATTCATCACGCCCTTCGTGCTGATTTGGTGGAGCACATTTATAGGACTCATATTCACCCGCCGATAGAGTTTTCTCACAATAATTTGTTTGATGAATCAGACGAGGATTCTGATATATTCGTCGAGAGCGAAGATTCCGATGATGAGAGTGACGTTCAGGAGAATGATCAAGACGATGAGGTTAATGACGAGGACGATGATTCCGAGTGACGTATTTTGGTTTTTTTTCAAATTAGGATATTAATTATGTTTTCTATGTTGTGGTTTGTTTGATTTTTTGTTTGCGCTTTTTTTTTAAAAATTTTCTACTTACTTAAATATTTGGTTTAATGTAATTTTTATTTTAATTAATGAAATGATTTTTATTTTTAATTAATTTATTTAAAAAAAAAAAACAAAACAAAACAAAATAGTGAGGGAAACTTCCTACCCATTACTTGAGTTTAGGTAAAGGAAAGGGTGATATAGCCCACAAAAAGTGAGGAAAGTTTCTCTCCCACTTCCTCCGGTCTAAAAGAGAACGGAAAATAGCAGAATGTTGTAGAGTTTATTTTGAGGATATAAATTTTCTGACTGCATCACTAGATTGATGAGCAAAATATTTTTGTCTAAGAAATACATACGGGTACCCAATAATAGAGAGAGGATGTGCTAGTTTTGAGAAGGGAAAGTATTTCATATCAAATGAAAATTTTACACATACAAAAAGATGAAAGAAAGTACACACACCAGTAAGTGTCCTCTGAGAGTGCCTCCACCAAAACCAAAAGAAGAAACACCCAATTTAGGGTTTCTAGTTTCATTAACATAAGCAACCTGCAAAAGTATCCCGAGCCATGGAATGAACTCCTTCACACAAGCACAAAACTTCACCCCATTCTCAATTGGTGTCTTTGGATCAACAAATGCCCAACTCAATCCGAAATGCCTAAAACTTCCCAAAATAGAACCCTCGATTGTATGTATTTTAATAAAAATCACAATCAAATTCTCTTCATTTCAATTTCATTTGGAAGATAGTAAAGATGTAATGTAAATAAGCATCCAAGTTTGCAGAGCAGTCTTGCCTTTTTCATATGCATCAGAGCCTGCTCCCACTAAAGTTTTTGAATGATTGATTAAAAATCCATCTTTTGAAAGTTCTTTATCTTCTTTAAGAATAGACAATGGTTTTACAGTAGTTCCTCCGTATTTAATATCATAGTTAAAGGTACCTGAACTCATGCATATCATCCAACATATTAGACGCAAACAACCCAGTGAAATTAGGGTTTTTTCAGAACGAATCATATCGGTCTACTATCACAGTATAACAAGAAAAAAGAAGTTCATAATATCTCAAATTCTTAGAACTAATTTCAAATTACAAAATAAAGCAAATAATTGCTTGAATCTTACTTGCTAATGCAATCTTTCTGCTCTTTGGGAGAAGGGCGAGTCGAAGACAATAACACCATAATCTATATCGATGATTTCAATTTTTGGCTTTAGACGTGAAAGTTGTTGACTTGCAACACGTCTTCAATAACTTTTGACTAAGAAATACACATGAAGTAACAGTCCGATGAAGAGGACAAAATGCTTCTTTATTTGATTTATGGTTTTCCTAATTTATAGGAGTCTATGGTCTTGTTAGAAATTAGTCGTCCTAGTATGTTTTAGATTGAATTGAATTTTGATAACTTCTATGAAATAGAAAAAAAATGTTAGCTTAATTTTTAAAAGGAAAATATATGTTATGAGTATCGACATTGTTTCTAGCTATTTCATGCACTAGTTATTTCCACTTGGCTGTCGTATGGAATGATGCATAATTACTAGGGAATGAAAATAGTCTAACAAATTTATAATGGGGTTTTCTATAAGTATCTCCTTTCTTTCTCAATTCCACCCTTTAATGACTTTTTGTCTTTGGTTTTTTTTTTTTTTTAATTCTTTTTTAATTTATTATTATTATTATTATTATTATTATTATTATTATTATTATTATTATATTTTAATATTATTATTATTGTTGTTATAAATTTTGCACAAAATTTTAACATTTGGACGGCATTATAAATTCGAACGGTTATATAAAATCGGTTTTTAAATATTTTTTTATATTTTAATATTAATATTAATATTGTGAATAACATTTTATAAATCGAACATTATAAATTTGAACGACTATATAGTCGTTCGAATTTATATTGTTGTCTGAATGTTAAAATTTTAGGCGAAATTTATAATAATAATAATAATAATTAAAAATAACTAAAATTAACAAAAACAAAACAAAATTGAAAAAAAAAAAAAAACAATAAAAAACAAAAACAAAAATAATATCAAATGAAATATCAAAATTTTGATTTGATTGGTTGTAGGGGATAAAAATGGTTAAGAGGATACTACAACACTTTATAATTTAAGAGCGGCAACTCTAAAGAACGGAGTATTTGTTAGTTAGAAAACGGAAAGAATTACAAACCTAGTCTCTATCTATAAATGATCTATAAATCGGTCCATGGCTGCCCTTTTTGCAAGGATACGAGAGATAGGGTTTGCCTTTTGAATATTATAATCTTCTCACCATCTCCTAATTGAAACCACCAAGATTACTCAAACTCTAACCTCTTATATGGATAGTAAATGTTTCTAGTCTCTATGCATAATCACAGGTGCTATTAATGCAATTAACTATGAAACAACTTGAAAAAAGCCTCATACATCAAGAATTCATAGCAAATATGAAGCTCAAACTAAAGAATCAAAACCACCCATGGTATTTCATTTTTGCCCTCCAACAGCTCAAAAAAAATCAATTAATTAATTAAGAAACAACTCTTTGTTTGCTCATCAAACCCCTCCGAAGGCTTAACTGATCGATGCACGTCTACCTTTCCGTTTCTTCCTCACTAGACTTCACATAACTGGACAAACAATCCAATATAATTTGCATCCGTATGATTCGCCACTTATGTTAATGCAATAAAAAAATATACTTTTTGTCCCATCTTAAAAAGCCATGGACTCAGTTCTTGATCTTCCATCGTACAATGACTAGACAAATACATTGAATCAGTTGATTGTTTAGTTAGACATGTTTATCACAAATTAATCATGTACATCAATCACATCGAAAACCAAAACCAGATAACATTAGTAAGCGGATATTAAATATCTCGCTCTAATTTTCATTCCTATTATATCAACCCAATTTACAAACAGAACGCTTAGCAAGCAAAAACAAAAAGAAAAACTCGCACTCGCACTCCCAAATTTTACTAAAAACACATTCATTGTATTTTTTTTCTTAATCTTAATACACTATCGTTTTGATTCTATGAAATACACCTCATGGAATACGACGCCACAGAGGAATCAACCGCGGGCGCACCGAAAGCTCTTGGGTGGTCACTCTCTAAACCATAATCCATCATCGGACGGAACTCCAGATCCTCATCGTGATCATACACGAACTCCGGGATCTCGATATCGTTTCTTCTCACATGCTCCCACAGATACCCTAATCTGCTAACGTATTTCAGCTTCGCATACAGCCTGCACCATAACACATGATCAATACAGTTCATATTGTAATTGATGCAAAGAAGCTATTAACCCTAACTCTGGTTCCCAAAATTTGGGGGTTATCAAGTTAAGTCGTTTTTTCCATGCGGAATTTGCCAAAAACAGGATTTGTAACAACTTGTTAGGCGTATCGTACAATTTATTGTTGCATGAGGGTATTGGATTTTGACAATTTTGGTACTGGGAAGAGGACAATTTTGAATTTATCGACGGAGAGAATATGACTTACCCTCCGGTGAAGATGAATCGGCCGAATGTGGCGAGAAAAAGTCTGGATTGTAGATCCGGGTGAACAAAGTAAACCGCCTCCAGATATTGTTTGACGTTGATCGGAATTGCTTCGTAAGCAGATCGGAGAGCAGATATTCCGGGGAAATTCTCGCTCTTATCAACATCGGTGTGGATGTAAACCACGACAAAAGGCCTCTCGAGTTTGGGGAAAACCTTCACTTCCAGATACTTTTTCAACAGGTCAACGTTCAAACTCTTCGCTGTAGAACAAATCAGCAAACTATTATTCAAAAAAACGTTAATCGGCGTTCAATCAACAAACAATAGGCATCAAAAGTAACGAAAAGCTTACCAGGAAAGTTTTTCCCTATAATTCTCAAGATCTTGCGACCGCGCTTGTCTCTGCCTTTGATCTTGAACACGTTAAGTTTGTGGATGAGTTTAATTTGCTCAGGCGCCAGTTCTTCGGACATGGTGATCTGAGATTTGGGGGAAAATCGATTCCGATAAAACAATGATCGATGAAGAAGAAGATGAAGATAGGGTTGATTGATTGATTCTTTATATATTTGGAATAAAGAATGGACGCTATCGAAAGGGATAAGTGCATCGAGAAGATGAGAGGGAATCTGATCTGACGGCGGATATGCGAATGGAATATTCGAAAGTCTGGCCGAAATTGATGGGCAACGGCACGATGCGGCGTCGAGTATCAACCGTTCCCATACGTCCCGAGATGTGTGCCAATCTTGAGAAATCTTGACCGTTGATTTTAGGGTCCGAAATGTATGGTTTAATGGACTTTATGGCCCATGGTTTTATCAATAAGAACATATCACTTTCGTCTCTTAAAATGGACCACTAAATTATTTATTCGTGCATAGTTGAAAATAAATGTGTACGCTAATTATAAAATGTAAGATATGTTAAGCCATTAACTCATGTAACATACTTTTTGACTATTAATATGATAAAGGCATCGCTTTATCTAAATATTACATAAAATAGATAAAGATGGTAACGTTTTTAGATTTAAATAGTCATATCATCCATTAAGTTAAAAAAATTACATCAAATCAACAAATTGAACAATATATTACATTGATATATGGCAAAAGTACATTGCATTAACATAAAGGTTTATATAAATACTAAGAAAGTTATAGAAAATTTATGAAAACTGTACGATGTTTTAACCCAATAACTCATGTAACATACTTTTTGACTATTAGTGTGATAAAGACATCACTTTTATCTAAATATTACATATAAAAAATAAAGATGATAAGCTTTTAGATTAAAATAGTTATATTATCCACTAAGTTTAAAAAAATTATATCAAATCAAATGATTGAGCAATATACAGCGATATACATAAATACGGTAAAAGTATCATTTCGTTGCTAACTTAAAGTGTCATGCAGCTATGACGGAAATTATATGCAAACTTATGACATATCAAATCAAATGATTGAGCAATATAACGCGATATACATAAATATGGCAAAAGTACCTTGCATCATTTCAATGTCATGCAGCTATTAAGGAAATTATATGCAAACTTGTGATCAAAAATCATTATTACAAGTATTTTATAATCACAGTTTAACAAAATAATAAACATAAATGTGATATCGGTCCAAAAAAATGTTAGGTTTTTTTAAACAACCCCAAATTTATCATACAAAAAGGATTTATTTAGAATCTGAAAAATGTATTATAGTCGTTACCAACTGAGTAGGAAAATATATCCTCAAGAACCCTGGATCATCTTTTAGTTTAACTTATATTGTTCCATACCCCATTTCATAATCATTTGGCTTACCATCCAAATTATAGATGACACGAACCACCTTAGCATAAAGAATCTTTTATTTACATATATGGACACCACCATTTGGCAAGAAGAGCAATGTTTAGAGCACAAAGACTACCTTAATCGAGATCTCCTTTTTCCTTAGGAGCAAGGAGCTTTGGCCGAGCAATCCAACTAAATTTTCTTTTATCCACGTTACATCCCCATATAAAACACCTATAGATGCAGCTCTTCTAAAATGCAAATATGAGTCTTAAACATTGAGTAGTAATAAATAAGGAGGGTGTCGAGAACTGTTTTAGCAAGGGGTGAAACGATCCTCAAACGAAAGGTTTTTTCCTGTCCAATAAGATAGTTTAGAGTGAAACCGATCAATAAACAGCTTCCAATTCTTCTTTAGGGACATGTTGGCACCAATAAGACACCCACGTAGTTGAACGGCAGAGAGGCGACTTCAAGGTCCCCTAGGCCAACTATTTAGTGGTAGGTTTTATAGGTTACAAAACAATATGTGGCGGAAAAACTTAACCTAAGTTCACATACAACTTATTGGGTCTAAGTTTTCTATATTGATTGCAACAAACAATTCAACATTAAGAACCCAAAGAATACCCTACTATTTTCGAAATTAATAAAGGGTTTTAGGGTTTATATACAATTTGATTATTGTAGTACATAATCAACAATTCCTTCTTGACTAAGCTTTAGAAAGCAAAAACCAAAAATCGCATGCCTCTAATGGTTGTACCCAAACCCTAGCAATAGAAAAGTTGAGAGGATATATGAGGGATGTAACGCCAGTTTTGAGGTATTTCATTATTGAATTTGCTCTGTATTAACCTTGCATTTTGGTCCCAACTATCAAGCGTTGGAAATGGAACGTCAAGCGTAAGTGTCACAACTAGTATTTTTGCTAGGAAATTCTACTCTCATGTAATCATTCACCTAGTATAATAACTTGTACTCTAAGCAAATATCATACTCCATGCTCATTCAAATACATCTCATATGTTCAACTAAGGGCTGGAAACCTTAGAAATCCCAGTTCAAGTTCATTATGGACTAGGATTTTCTTATTGGGCCTAACGGACCAATAAGCATTCAATTCGACTATTTTTGGCTTCGAAACCCTATTTGGATTCTAAATGGACCCAATTCATAAATCTATAACATTTTGGACCATTTGGGCATATAATGATTCATTCTAACCCTAATGGACCTTGTTGGGTCATAAATGAATTAATTAGCCCTAATGGACCTTGTTGGGTCATAAATTAATTAATTATCCCTAATGGGCCATAAACCCACTCCTTTATACCATATTGTGCCGTGAACCACCTTAAGAGCCCAATGGACCGAAATGATATTATTAAGCTTCATACATTTAAACAATTCAAGTAAAGGCCCAACTTCTCTCTTTTCCCTTTTCATTACTCTACTCTCAGCCTACAAAAAAAAACATTAACCAACTAAATGCATGACACGTCATAAATATTTGTTGGATATCCATGCAAGAGTGCATGTATCCAAGCAACTCTCACATCACTCCCCTTAAAGAGTCAACTTATCTCCCTCCTATCTCTCACTCTATCTCTCTCTCTCTCTCTCTCTCTCTTTCTCTCTCTCTCTCTTTCTCTTTCTCCAACCTCTCTCTTTTCAAACTTAACCATACTTCTCTAAATCATCTAACACCCCTCCACGCATTTTCCTTAAGAAAATCGTGAGTATAAGGAAGATCTTTAAGAGAATCACTTCAAGCTTCACTTTGTGGTAAAATCTTGCAAATCCAAGTGATATACTTCATCTTTAAACTCAACCACTCCTTTTACACCCATGTTTTCGTGAATCATGCTCTTAGAACACCTTAAAGCTCGAAAATCACCTCACTAACACATCTAGGGCCGAGATCTCTTCACTTCTTCATCAAAAACCGAAACATCAAAGCAAAGGTGAGTTCATACCCCCCTTGTTTTTGGTTTTATCTTGTTTTTGGAGGAGAATACAAGCCACTGTGTGTTATATCTATGTATTTGTGCATGCTTATGTGTGTTTTCTTGATTTAAGTTGTGATTATGTGATGAAACACTATAGATCTCGAAAATCTCTAACCAAAAGTAGTGGTTTTTGTAAACTAAAACACTTCATATAACTTACTATAGAGATGAATGTGATATACATGTAAAGATCCTTAAGGAACTTAACAAATCTTGAAAAAGGGGCCATTTTTGGCACATAGACAAAAAGTTTAGGTTTTTAGTTTATTTTTGGTTTTTATAAGGGTCACAAGAGTCATTTTCTTTTAAAAATGAGTCTTTATGATATTTATGACTTCAAAGGAGTTAAAAGTAAAATTTCCGCATAATGGGCCATATTATGGACCATTACGGTTTCATTGGGGCTAGAATGTAAAAATCTTGATTTTTATGGATAAAAATTATCATTTGATACAAATTTGAACAAAAAATGTAAATTTGTGGAATTAGGGGCTAAAAATGACACTTTAATAGAAATTGGGCCAAAAATGTTATTTTTATTAAATTGGGCCGAAACTGTCATTTTTATCAAAAATGGGCTGAAAATGTAATTTTTGTAGAAATTGGTTGAAAACAACAAAATTTATATATTTGGGCCAAAAATATTCATTTAGATGTATTTGGGTTTAAAATGTTAAATTGTATTTAGTCGGGCCGAAATTGTAAATATTTATGAATTTTGGGCCGAAAGTAAATTTTAACCAAAAAGGGCCACAGATGGTCATTATATTTGAATTAAGCCCATAACTTGAAGACCTTTAGTATTATGGAATCTAAAGTGTCAAAATTTTAAAAAATGTGACTAAAATGTATATTTTCGGTCTAGTTGACCAAAAGTGTCACTATTACAAAAATTAGATATTTTTATAACCTCGAGCTAAAACAAACAACGAAATAATAATGAATAGACGAAATACATTGATAACAATTTTTATTGGGCCTAATACTCCTGTTACATGGCCAGTGTGTCTTAAGGGTCCATTTAAGTGTATATTGGGCCTAATATTTTCCATTTACATGCTAATTGGGTTTGGACTAAAAATCACCTGCTTAGTGGATCTTAGTTATACCTTTACATAATTGTTGAACTTCATATATTCATATACATACCTTTGGATTTGAAAACTTACAACATACACGTAAACATTAAACATGGTGAAAAACATAACAATTGTGAAAAAGTTGAGGATCTAGTGAGACTTGTCGGTTGGCACCTTTGAGTGTACGATCGTAGCCTATAGTTATAACCAGAGTTTCCTGGAGAGAGAGCAGGAATTTGTATATAGATCTATATGGGGTGAACCCCCACGCCTTAGCTGTTCGCTACAGCTAGACTAGGCTAGTCTTGGGCGACAAACCTTACCTAAATCAAAACCGGCGTCTGAAAACGCCAAGACATGTGAATTAGTCATTATCAAGCATAGTTGTAACGGCTCACTTAGAGACTAACTTCATCTTAAGGGTCCATTTAAGTGTATATTGGGCCTAATATTTTCCATTTACATGCTAATTGGGTTTGGACTAAAACTCATTTGCTTAGTGGATCTTAGTTATACCTCTACATAATTGTTGAACTTCATATATTCATATACATACCTTTAGATTTGAAAACTTACAACATACACGTAAAACATTAAACATGGTGAAAAACATAACAATTGTGAAAAGTTGAGGATCTAGTGAGACTTGTCGGTTGGCACCTTTGAGTGTACGATTGTAGCTTGTAGTTATAACCAGAGTTTCCTGGAGGGAGAGCAGGAATTTGTATATAGATCTATATTGGGTGAACCCCCACGCCTTAGCTGTTCGCTACAGCTAGACTAGGCTAGTCTAGGGCGATAAACCTTACCTAAATCAAAATCGGCGCCTGAAAACGCCAAGACATGCGAATTAGTCATTATCAAGCATGGTTGTAACGGCTCACTTAGAGACTAACTTCATCAAAGATTTCAGTATATTTATACAAATCTAGACGATACTAAAAACATACATACAACGATACTCAGTCTTGTAAATTTTATGATTACGATACTTTTATAAGCAGAAAATATCGGATTTTCTGGGATAAATACATGTATACATTACCTTTTACTTA